CATTACAATGATATGAGGCCTTATTTGGGTGCATGTTAGGCCGAAATCAGAGGCAATATAGTGTTTCGTGCAGGGCCATCCCAGCGGGCAAATTATGTTGTTTTAACGTTGAAACAACGTTGAACCATAACGTTGATAATACGTTGGATAAACAATGGATTATATTTGAAAGTTGACTCAACGTCAGATAACAACATTGTATCAACCCCAGTTGTTAGACAACATTCTTGCATGAAAAGACATTAAAATGACCTGAAATGTTTTTATTTTTGGTACAAAACACAGGTACACGATTAAAACGTACACTGTAAAAACATCCAAGTGCCTGCTTTGTCTGATTTTTTTAACGCGCATTTAGCTCCTAAGCATGTTTTGCACCTAAGCATGGTACACCCTTTTAGCCTGGATGTGTTCAGCAGTAGGACATGTTTGATGGCTAAATATATGTAGGGTATATATGTAAATTTCCAAGGTTTAGATTTATATATATATATATATATATATATATATATATATATATATATATATATATATATATATATATATATATAGTTATTTTCTTATATATATATATAACAAAGTCACAGTCACCTCAACCTGTCTATCTATAACAGGGTACCGAGAACTGTCAACTTTATTAACTTCACTCCATCACATTTACAGCAACTTATTCATCACGACGGCCAAACAACAACGTTGAGTCAACATCACATTATGACGGTGTTTTGACGTGGCAGGATCAACGTTGATTTTAGGTTGAATTTAGGTAGATCAACAGCAATTCAACGTATCAACCTGTTTTCAACGTTGATCCAACGACTATGCCTGCTGGAATGCATCTATAGGTTACAAATTAAAACTGATGTGAACACGTACGCGACATCACTTCCTCCTTCTGGCGTCTTCGATACTGGCGTTATTTTCAACCGAAATGCCCTTCAAATTCTATATACGAAGTGGCCGTAATATATTAAGAGGAAATTCTTTTTCATAATTATCATTTTATATGAGGTTAAAGTAATCTTAGCAGTCTGATAATATACAGTGACGATAAAACTAGCCAATAATCTGAAAACGAGGCTGAGTGGGGAATCCCCTCGGAAAATCCTATAAAATATCGCCATTTTCCTTTTCATAATGAGCTAAACTGTTTGAATTGCCTGTGTTTGTGGGCAGTGTCCTCTAAAAGGAGACAATGCGAGGGCGTTAATGTCTGAATTCAAGGACGATACACTTCTAGGTATGTTTTACGTATGTTCAATCTCAAAGAATAGATTTAAATCATTTACTGAAGTCGTACTAGAATAATACAGACCTGTAGACCTGCCCCTTTGTTTAGTTTCGAAAGCACATGAAGCGTTCAAGTGCTCTTGTGTTTAATGGTACAGCTGTACCTTAGTGACATAGTATTAATCATTCATAGGGACATTTACTTTAGGGTGTGGTGATAGACATATAGTACAGTATCAGTATGCTGAAAATAATTAACACTTCATGTACATGTGTAGGATATTGCAATGGTCAGCTGATACTAGACAGGCAGGCTAAAAATTACGATGACGAGAAAAAAGTTGAAAGGTCATTTGTATTGCGCTGTACATGCATGAGAAAAAAGCAAGGACTATCTCTAATATCTAAACACTTATTTTGGTTCAGCATAAGATATGTAAGTATATGTATCTCAAAAGTAATTGACATAATTACTAGTTATGACCCAACTCAACTGTAGAAAATTTGGACTGTGATTTGTTTCAATGAGGTCCATATTTAAGCCAGGTAACACTGTTGCCTCAGTTTTCAGCCTTACATGCTAGGTAGTAGTAATAACACCCTGTGTTACAAACTAACCTGTGTTGCATATATTATAAGAGGCAACATGTATAAATACTACAGTATCCCCATCCTGGCAAAGCTGTGAGCTAGTCCTTTACATGTAGTAAATAATTGGCATATAAAGTGGTTTTATATCAGCTCAAGTACCAGTTTGATAACATTTTGGACTTCTTATTGCACCTTTCTTGGACGAATAAAGCTTCTATTGTAAGCACTTACACATGCTAGTATTTAGTGCTATAATACTTAATATGTCAATTGTAAGTGACGTCACATTCTCTGTGTAAATTCTCAAGAGTTGGTAACACAGGCCTTTCTTGTGTAAGTCTAAAAACCAAGGCAAGTAACACTGAGGCAAGTCTGTCACATTATATAGTAGATATGAGAAAAAAACAAACAAACAAACAAACAAACAAAAAAAAAACATTACAGTGATTCTATGGCATTATGATCTCACAAATAACTCATTCTCATGAAAGCAAGGCTTACAGTTACATGGAATTTTCCCTGAAACATTATTGTTCTCACATATTGTTCTTATGAATACCAAGGTTTACCTTACACCAATCAGTTGAGAAAACAAATATCAGATGATAGGGTTTGAGATCAATTTAAATTTATAGAAAAAGCAATATCTGTCCTACAGTTAAGTGGTGTTTATGCTAGAAGGGTAGTGGCAATGGCTTATGTCATCTTCTGTTGTTTGGTTGGTGAGGTTCATAATGAGGACTCCTTTTTTGAAGTATTTTTCTTTTTCATTTACTGTATGGTCTAAAGGCCAATTTTACTGTAGATTTTATATGGCTGATTTTTGCACCTTTCAGTAAGATCAACTTTTTACTTATTTTCCTGGTATAAACAGTAATTTTTCAAAACCAACCTTTGGTCCTCTTTTCCTGATGTTTGCCATAGCTCTGTAATAATCTGGGAAATTTTAAAAAGTCCTTATCTTATATGCTTATAGTATGCATGTTTTTTTGCGAATTCAGCCATAATTTCCAGCTCTGATTTCTGGATTGTGTGCAGTACCAAACTGAGTCAAAATGGTTGACAGGCAAGATTTGTCAGAAGATGTTAGGTATTTCATTTGTAAAATGTGTCAAATACAGTAGATGAGATTTATAAAAGAAATGACAATATTATGGAAAATCTCCTTTTCCAATTTTCATTGATTTGGAGAGAAAATATGTTCTCAAAAAGTGGAAATCAGACAAAATGTTAAGTTGAATTAACTCTAATATTTTATCCATAAATGTATAGACCCTCCAGCTCTAGTGTCCCACAAACGCAGTTGGTGGTGGTATCAATGTATAAAAAAGTTTTTTTAATTTTTTACTTTCATTTTAATATCAAAATGTGCAGCAATGTATATGTTTAGCACGTTGTGTGTATGGACTCCGTTACTGACAAAATTGAATGGAAGTATTATAAAAAGTGATACATGTAAAAATTAATTCTGATTGCACTTTGTGAGAGTCCCAGCAGAATTGGGTCAATCTAGGTTGGCTGATGCTGTCTATGGGAATCGGGGGGTCTATGAGAGCACGTACACTGGTTTCAATTGCTTCCTGCAAGGCGGAAAACCAGGGTTGCCCTTTAACGATAATCATGACCTGTTAAAACCCCTGGTGCTTTTCTTGGAAGAGACGATCTCTTCCTTATAGGTATTGATTATTGACATGTACTAGTAAGGCATAGAAGTGAAGCAGCAAAAATGTTCAAACATTTCAGAACCTAAGGCTTGCTCAGTTATTTTCCGCCTTAAAGTATAGTTGAATTGTTACATTTTGATTAAGGAAGATTTTTCGTAAATGCTAGTAATTTGATTAGTGTATTCTACATAACAGATTCTTACCTCAGGTAATTTGTAAACTTATGTATTTTGGTTTACCAAGGTCATGAAGTTACCTGTTGCATACTTCAATTTACTTCCTTGTCTATTAAGCTCAGGGGTGAAATTGTACCCTAAAATAATAATAGTGAACTATTTTCATCCTCTGTATACTATTGCTAAAATGCACATTCTGTTAAAAATAGAATTTTATGGTTTGAAAGTTTATTGCTTGTGAATGAGATCATACTGAAAAACAAACGTATAAATAAATATGATTGTACTGTATTTTAAGTGAAGTTGTGTCCTGTTTGAAGTAAATATAAATAAAAATACAACCTTGCTTGTAAGAAGGTAATGATAGACAGCTGGATTTTACTTAAATTCTTATTTTGTCTAAACATTTATGTAGAGTTGTTGTAAACTGTCTTTGAATATTATTTCCACTTCATTCTGCTTTGTTTGAACTAACATATTATAACTTTGGGTAACCTTTAAGTTTATTTTTATAGTCAAATCAAGACTTTTCCCAGCAAACCGTCCAGTTGTCATTTGGATGGCCTCCACCATCACTGGATGGCTAATATTTTCAAAGACCGCTGGACAGCTTATGAATTTTTTTCTTTTGAAAAATGATGGCTTGGGGTCACTGAAATGTTGTAGGAAATTACAGGGGATAATTTTGGACAAACTGTACCCCCATTTCTGGGAAAAGCCCTGAGTTAAATCAAATATTTTACATGGAAAATGCATCCAGAAAATCTATCAATATTTTTAGAAAGTTTCATAAAAAGCCATTTCGAAAAGAATTCATCGTAAAAGGGAGAGATTGGAAAAACCTGGTTCTAACCCATGTAATACATTATCAGGGATTCCCACTTTTCAAGATGTTTTGTCCAGCCCTAACAATCCTTTTTCTAAAAGCTCACCAGTAACGTACTTCCAGTTTATATTGGGAAATTCCGTTCTGATAACAGAATCTAGCATATGATATATATGCGACGGGATGGACATTTGATTTATGAGATATACTTACTGTAATTAAAGGGAAAATATAAAATTCCAGATTTGTCCCATTTGATGTTGATTCATTATAGTATCAAAATGTTTTCTTAATATGTTAATATTTGTAGTTAAAACCAGCTCTAATTCTCTCCTAGTCAACACAGGTCACATATGCTAATGAGCATTCCAGATCTGTGTCAGGGAAACCCACATATTTCCAAGAATTGGGTCAGTTTTCAAGCAGTGACACCAAGCATGTTCTTGAGGCTAGTGTGGGGAATTCCCATTAAGGAACTAACCTTGTGTATGAAAAATCAGTCACGTTGTCTAGCGCTTTCATTCATTGTGTGACCTTCGGGTCATTATGTAGTGTTATTGTAAAAAAGGTGTCATGTTCTTATGTTATTGTTGGGATTTCCCTATCCTGTTTGGTAAGGGCTGGAGTACCAGTAACACATTTCACAGGACAAGGCTGTTTACTACTATGAGGCATTTACATGAAATTGGATACAGCAAAAATGGCAAAATTTATAGGTAAACTGTATATGGTCATTTACTGTTTCAGGTATTTGAGTTGATATTAGTGAACATGCCAGTATATTTTTTATTTCTGTTTTTATTTTATAATTTAATATAAAGAAATGAGAATCAAATGTATGTGTTATTTTATACATTTGAAAGATGGATCCAATTTATGTTGAAAGGGGCATATTTTGACCTTCCTTTAACAACAATGAAGGATAAGTGTCATTAAAATGTCTAACATGTTTGTAAACACCTTTTTTGTTTTTTATTTTATTTTGTAAGTCCAGTAAAAGAATGATAATTTTTTAAATATAAGTTTCAGTTAAGATTATAAACATATTTCTCTTCCTCTCTTTTTATAAAGGCATGCCTTAGAAGTCAGAGAAAACATTCACAATAATATGGCAGAGTACCAAAATGAACTGTCTGTGGAAAATGACATCGCTATACTGGAAGACAGTCCTTCAGATGTGGACCATCCAAGCGCAATTCCACCATCTTCCCATCGTCCAGAATTTCAGATCTATACCTCACCACAAGCTAGTTTAGGATCATCACAGTTTGCACTCCAAACTGCATACAACGATTTAAAAAAGCGATACAATCAACTTGACGGAAAACACAGACAGCTTGTACGGGCTGTTAAAGAAGGTCGTGTTGGAATGGCATCGCGGAATGTGGACTCTGGCGAAGACACTGCCCCCAGGTCAGGGTCGCCTGTGACCAATGGCCAGCCAGAGAGTGTTGGCAGTGACCTGTCGTCTGCTCAGTTTAGATCACTTGAAATGAGGAGCAAATATCTAGAGTCAGAAATATACAAGTTGCAGGTAGAAGTGAGGAACAAACAACAAGAAGTTGACAGGTTGACTAGCAAGCTCAAAAGAATTGAAGCAGACAACAAAAGATTGATTAATGAGAGTCAGGCAATTAAGGATAAAATTCAAACAATGATTACAAGACATAAAATGGAAATTGCAGAATTGCAAGAAAATTTGTCTAAGCTAAGCGATGAAAAAGAGGCATCAAAGTCAAGGGTTGAAGTCCTTGATACTACTTTAAAAAGAAAGGAGAGGGAGTTAGCAGGTTTCAAGGTATGGCAATATTGAAAATAAGCTGTACAAATTTTTTACTGAAGTCTCTTTCATTTATATACTCCGGTCTTGTGTGTGTGTGTGTGAGTGTGCACGTGTGTGTGCGTGCGTGCGTGCGCTTTTTGTCTAAAATAGTAATGTTTGAAAATGGTTAAACATAATTTGGTTAAAAGGCACAAGGCAAAACCTTGGTTGTGCATATTACATGCTTCCAAAACTTTTTCAGACAGAATTGCATTGCTAAACAGTAAGTGTCTTTGTCCCTAAACAAACATGATATAAAGCAGCATTTCACAATAAAAATTTCATTGTGTGTTTAATCTTTGAGCAGGGGTGCTTTTGGACATTGCATCTCTACAGCACAGTCCTCAGACTTGGACTTGTCTTCTCTAAGGTGGAGCTTTAAAACCTCGTGGTCCATTATTGTAATGGACCAAGGCCTGGAGGAAGCATCCATCTGCAGAGAGAGTTGCTGTTGCTGTATTACTCAAGCTATTGGAAACTGAATATGCGAAAATCTATTTAACTTTATAATTTGACTTGATAACATATTGCACGCTTTGATTCTCTATATATTTTTAGGTATTACTTTTCCCAAAGGCAGTTCAGATTATTCAGTGCTTTTAACAAATTAATGTTTGCATTTGCATTTATAAAAAGTTTATCCTGTTATGCCTTACATTAAGTGAATAAATCAGGATGATTTTTGTATATTTTTATGAAACATATAAATAGCTTTTTAAACGGAAATAAGAGACTCAGCTGATGAAAAATTTCCCAGGATTACTTGAAGGAGGCGACTTTGACCAAAAAAAAAAAAAAAAAGATTTTTCCATCTACTTTGCACACTTTACAGTGTGAATTGAAATGAAAATCTTTTTCATTGTAGAAGCAGTGCTTGGAGCTAGATCGTCAACTCAAAGATGCTTTAAAAGAAAAGGAAGAAGAAAAACAAGTATATCTAGACAGGCTGTCCTTGTTACAGAACACAGAGACCTCAGGGACAGGTAAGTTGGGGACCATTCAAAGTGAGTTATGCCGACGTAGTATACAGTAAAGCTGTAAACAATCCTTAGATAATGTACATAAACAAAAACATCCTGGCTGCTGTGGAGGGCTGTTAAGGAATCCAAGATGGTTGTCATTGAGTGAATTCCTTTCATGTTTCAGGAATAGGAGAAAAAGAACTGCTTGGCTTAAAATTTCAAATTGAAGCTGTGAAAAAAGACAATGAGAATTTGAAAAAGATGGTGCGAGAGCAACACTTATTTATAGAAAAAGCCGTGCAGAGAGAAAAAGCAGGTGAGTGTGGTTACAAACAACTTCAGGGCCATAGGCTGAGAATAATATGAAAAAATGAGAAAAATGCAGGAGGAAGGGGGGCAATACATGCAGGCAAGAAGAAAAAGACTAGTAAGAGACTTTCGTGGAACTGGGAGGAAGGAGAAGGCCACCACTTTATAAAGATATTGTATTTGATGAAATGTTTTAAGGATTTTATGATATTTTCAGCAATACGTACAAAAGAGAGGACACCAGCTGCAAATCCACAAACCAGTGCCAATAGCAGTATCTCCCCCCGAGCGTCATCACCTCAGGCAAATGCCTCATCCGCACGCGATGTGATGACAGAAAGTTACGCCATTCCATGCTCCGAGGACGTAATGCAAGATGAGCTTGGGATGGAGCCAGGACAAGACATGACCTATGCAACAATGATACCAGCCACTGGGAACACGGACAATCTCACGCCAGATGGGCAGTTTGGTTCTCTTCCTTCAGAGACAGGAGGAGTAGGATCACTGAATAGTCAGGGAAGAGAAGAGGCATTGAGAGAGGACCAAACTGCCGATCCTGATGAGGGGTTGGGAGGGGACAGTATGACATCAGATCAGGGAGATATATTTGGCTCTGCCCTCATGGACATTCCATCTGTGTCACCAAGAAACACATCTCATAGATCTCGAGGGAGTGCTTCTAATCCTCCCCTGAGTGGGAATGCTGGGAACTCTAATCTTTCTAGGTCTGGATCAGCAGGAAACAATATGGCTGGAAGTAGACTTGGGCCTTCCAGTAGTAACAATCAGAGATCTACCGGTTCATCTGTTCGAAACACGTCGGCTCTTAATTTTGAAAGAAATGAAGAGCATCCTCAAACCCGTGATAATAGTAAACAAAATCCGAATCTGTACACAGAGGAGCCAGGGGGGTCCAAACTGGGGTCACCATCTACCAGCCCAACAGTTCTGAACAATGACCCCCTGCTAGGCCATAAGGTTGGGATGATACCCAGTAAAAACCTCCTTTGTGATGAGAGGAGCCAACCAGAGGGAGCCACTATACATATCCCGCTGAGAGACAACATGGATGAATATGACCGTATTTGTCCGTCCTGTAATCGAGTTTTTCCCGTGTCAATGCCAATGGAGGAGTTACAACAACACGTCATGGACTGCATGCCTGGGGAGACTTCGGGGATTGTGCACAACTCCTTTGATGACGAGGGGCCAGTTAATACCGATGAACGTGTCTGCCCAATGTGCAGCGCTGCTTTCCCTAAGATGCTTCCACAAACCGATTTTGAAAGTCATGTGAACAGTCACTTTGAAGATGAAACATCAATGGTCTCCCAATATGAAGTGTTAAGTGGCAATTGAATATATATATATATATATGTGCTCAAATGTAATTCTTAATTGATTATTCTCTAAATTCTTCTGTACGTTAAGCTAATGAAAGTACTAAGTGCATTTGATTACAAATAGAAACTTTTGTGACATACTTCTATGGTTTTGAAAGAAAGTATAACACAAGCACTACAATTGCCCTATGGCTACTGCTATGATCATGTGTCTGAGAAACTTTTCTTTTATAGATGCTTTAGAGGACTTAAATCAGTTACCATTATCCATTTTCAGTCTTGCATCAAATTCTCAATAGAAAGGAAAAAGAGCTATAGTCCATTTTGTGTTGAACAAAATTCAAGCAACCTAAAAGTGCAACATACGGGGCTTTTGCACAAAAATGGCTTTCTACTGGAATGCTTGCACTGTTTCAACTAGTCTTCAACACTTAAGATATCTTACATATATATGTATGACTTTTATCCTCTTTGTTTAAACAAAGTGAACCGGTACTTGGTTCTTTGTATTTTTCTTTCGCATTATAGTGCACTTGAGTAGGAGTATTTGTTTCTCTATTAAACTTGGCAAAAGATCAGCGTCTGGTCCTTTGCAGTCAGAGTAAGAATTTTGATAAATCACAAAAAAATTATTAATAGTTTCCTTTGTGCAGACCTGCTTCTTGTTCCTTATCCGAGAAAGTCTCCGAGTAGAAATTTCAGGTAAACTAAAGTAAAATGCCCAGGTAAATTTAAGGTAACCTGTTTATACACAAGACCAAGAAAGAGTTGCTTTAATTACTGTACTATTATCTCCAACTTTAGAAACAATGTGTGGTAATTATATGCTAAAAAAGGTTAGTAGTCGGGACAGAATTTAAAAAATTGTGGTTTTGTTACAAGTTTTCTTGGTTTTTCTGTATTTTATATTTATAACATGCTCCGCATCACTTTTGCAGAAGGTACTGTATATGAATACAAATGACAATTACTCAGACACTGCACTGTGGCATCGTTTTACTCATCTTTCTTTATGATATTATTAAACCAGCATTCCTTCCCAAATGTTTTCACACAAAGACTCAAAATCTAGAGAACACAAAGAGAATACAGTTTCAAAAGATTTATTTACCTCCGCTATTTATACTTTAACAAAGAATTAAAGTGAAAAATTGACCTAGTTCACAGGGTCTCACACTGGGCTACACTTGAACACTGTACCACTACAAGAAATAAATGTACTAGAAGTAAACAATTCAAGTGATTCTTAAATTAAGTGATCCTTTCGAACAGAATAATACAAAAATACTTATCATTACAACTTGTTTGAAATGGTTGTGTCAGCTCAGTTGGTCTAAGAGCACCCTGAGTTACAGAGGACACTTGGAACTCCATTCCCTTCTATATGTAATAGGCAAGTTCCCAGTGTCCTTTGAAAAATGGGGAACTCTTCAGTTGCAAACCTGAAATGTAATGGCTACTCTTTTTCTCATACATTTCTTATTTGATTTCTGTCCACTAAATATGTAGCTTAAAGTAACTTACTCCTGAACTGGATATAATATTTTTTAATGTGTTTTGAAAAAAGTACATTGTCAGTGCCTCTGTTGTATAAATTTATTTGTACAATTAAGTCGTGAAAAAATAAATAACCAAATGAATTTTAACACTGTGAAGATATTTTGCTCATTGGGATGCAAACAGCAAGCCAAAATGATAATACTAACCAATTAATTAATCGACTGTTTACTCTGACATCAGTTGATTATCAAGACAAGTTGCCAGCCAAGCACCAGCCCACCTTTACACTACCCAACTCCATTTCCCAAAATGACACTTCAGAACTATTTTATTATCTGCAGCACAGGCAATCGAGAACACTGGTCAGGGATTAAATATTCTAACATTTTGCCGACCAAGACCATTTCCATTTCAGGTTATATAGGAGATAGTTGGCCAATGTGAATGCATCTTATATTTAGGCACAGAAAGATGTATCAGTGGGTGAATTTCAACAGAAACCTCAACAGTTACAGTATTCAATAGCAAAGTAAGTTTTTACCCCAGAAATAATTCAATCTTAAACAATTTTTGTTTAATACAAACACAATACTTTTTACTTGATTTCAAAATCAACTTTTCTTCTTTACAAAGCAAGAAGTTTGTCTCTCTAAATATAATGAACAATGATCAAATACTTTTTTTTGTTTCAGTTCTTGATAGAAAATAAGATGACACAATTTCATTTTAAGTTGAGTTTCAATTTCTTGAATTTGAGTCTACAAATAACTTCCTCTATAACATATGATTATGTCATCCCAGACAACAACAGATAAACGTGAAATCTCACAACAAATAAAAACAATTAAAGAAAATCACAATTAAGGAAAAGATGTCTGCAATATAACTTGGTAATTGTTATACCTGTCATGTTACAACTATTGCTAATTTAACTAATCAGTCCTGGTTAAAAAGAAAAGTGGAACTGGTACCAGAGAAACCTACTGATATTGTGTGTCACTAATTCAAGTTCTGCACCCAACACTCCCAAAATTGTTATCTATACAATAAGGATTTATTTCAAAATAACACATTACAGGGCATGTCAGAGGTTTAATATCACCTCGGAGTCAGCTGTGGTGCTGGGCCTGTGTAGCATCTGTTGATGGGACCATTCCCACAGTTATTTGGATCGATCTATCTCCCTAGGGAGTCTCACTAAATTGCTATCAAAATGACTGGCTTAAACATCGGTCACGTCCAGTAAAACTGTGAGAGGGGAAATATCTTTACCCCTAGCTGATTCGGTAGGCGTGACAGACATTTAAGCCTCTTGAGCTGATAGAAATTTAGCATGAACCCCCAGATGGATCGATCCAAGTATGGGAACCAGACTATGATGACTCTGTTTATAATATGCTATGAAATGTTGTTATGGATTGTGATACAGGAAACGCACCATAATGAAAATAGGTACCACACAACAGAAGTGAGGTGCCTTATCACAAGCAAGACTAGCATAACATGAAACAATCTTTAGCAATTCCCCCATTAATTTTCTGATGTTACATGTCCTAAAACAATCCATTGCCTGAAAGTCCTGGACAAGCTGCTTAAAATTTTTTCACAATAGCAAGTCAAGCCCATGGAGAAAATTGCGTTTATGTGAGGTGTAAATATGACGAATGTTGAAAAAATGAAATGCTTAAGTTGCTGTGGCGCATGAAATTTGTAATAACCATATATAAATAAAACATTATGGCACAAGTGTACATACCAGTACATGTATATGATAGCAGGGAGTACGGGGAGCAATTTTACATAAGAGCTAAAGATTTTACTGAAGTTTGGCTAAACTGTTAAATCAAATTTTTGTCTACTTGAATGCATGAATCTTGAATAATCAATTGATTTTTTTTTTTTTTTTTGTTAGCATTTTGAAATTTTGGCCATGCATTCCATACAGCAGGGGTAATATATGGGACTACTACCTTAGAACCTATCTATTTTGGGTCAAATTAGAATGTATAATGTAATCATATAATAAATATAATTTTTACCACCTTTGTCAACTTAAATCCACACCTGCTAATGTTCTCAGCATTTTCATGCATATGTAGCTTGTTTTGTGTGTGTGTGTGTATGTGAGTGCATTATTTTAACCAAATTTCACTGAGCAATTTGCTAACTATAGTGCCCGTTGCCTTCTTATTTACAGACCACTCTTAAGCATTTTTTTTTTTTACCTTCTTAACTGTTTTGATATCTGTCCGCAACCTTAGAAAGAAAAAAAAAATATCATAGCTACAATAGTTATGACTAATCTCAACTCTTTTGCCTTTTTTCTTGAACTAAAAAGATAGGTGTATATATATATTTTTATTAAAAGGTACTGGTTGGTGATAAGATGTTTTTCAAAACAGGAAAAAATGCCGTGCAAGCCCATACACTGACTACTTCACTAACAGGGTTTATGGAAAACCAAGACCCAAAACAAGGAATGGATATGCTGCACCGTGAAATTTAGGGTAACAATGCTGCTATCAGTTCACAAAGGTTTTCACCTTCTTCCAAGCGACTACTCCACTTTAAGACACTAACAGAACTTCAAACAATAATCAATGACCTTGGCATAATGTATATGCATGGTTACCACATGTTTATATCTCTTCAGGCCTTTTCACATATTAGCAATACAGCTGTACTGTTATATTTCACGAGACTGACTCCTTTAGAGCCTGGTTAATATGAAAAAGAGCCACCTAAACAGGCGTCCCATACCTGACACAGCCAATTTATAAACTTCCACTAAAGCGCCAGGCAGCAGACTTTATATTAAGGGAGTTAAGCTTCCTGAAGAAAAATTACATGATGGAACCTCTCAAAACATACTGGTACAGCTATTTTGCTAAAATTAAATACAATGCTCAGTATGAAAAGGTCTTTATATACTGCCCAGTACAAGTAGCTGCCATTATCCTGGAAGTGATAAACATTACATTGTACAGTAATAATACATTCATGCCATCACACACCAAATATACACATTAAGTGAAACTATATCAGCAGATTTAACAGAGAGAAATCATTTTTTATATTGAACTTCTCTTGGATATCCCTTATTTCTTTTTGCATGATTTCTACTCTGTTGTCAGAATATCTTTAATAAGTATTTAAATAGAAAATTTGAAAAATGTGACGAAGCATTATCCTATGTTCTATAGCAAACAATTTAAGGCACACTTTATAAACTAATGAGAGCACTTTTTACCTTTATGAATTTTATATTAGGATTTAACGCAGTAATTGACTTCAAAATAGTGTGAATTAAGCTATATAACCAAGCATAACAATGTATGGTAATAACTAACTACATTTTAACGTTATAATTATCCTCCCCCCCCCTTTCACTTACTATTACTTCATTCTAAACATTTCAAAAGTTATTGAAGCTTAAGTCAGAAAGTATGCTGTTGTCTGATATTGCCAAATCTTGAAAAGTAAAATATTAGAAACAGTGAAGCAATTGAAAATCTCATGTAACTACCATACTGAAGATCCATTTTATATTCGAACCTGAGTTTAAGAAGCATAGTTTTTATTGTTTGAATATGTTAATACATGGTATGCACTCATAATAAACCACAACAGGTATTTATACTTGGTAATGACTCTATCTTTTCAATGGGGAAAATTATTAATCTTTCAGACACACAATTTTGGAATAGTTAAAAATAGATATCTGGGCTCCGTATCTCGAAAGGTTCGCTATGTTGCGCACATGCGCAAGCGTCTCGATTCCAATGGCCCCGTATCTCGAAAGAATCGGTTATGGAATCGAGACACTTGCGCATGTGCGAAAGCGTTTTGATTCCATGGCCCCGTATCTCGAAATAGAATCGGTTATGGAATCGAGACACTTGCGCAACATAGCAAACCTTTTGAGATACGGAGCCCTGTAGAGCATTTGTGGTGCTTTAGCTGTATAGAATAGAACTTTTAGATAGTCTTCTCTTCAGTTTTGTTTCTTCCACTGAATAGAAATGTTCTAAATTAAAAAGATTTAAGACTTCAAAAATTATTCTATCTATAAAATTCACAATTCTCCCCATTGAGAAGTCATCATAACTGGCAGACAGATACCAGTCTTTTCAATACACTTTGTAACTCAGGGTTCCATAGTATAAATCTGATACAATATATTAGCCAGAGGTCCATTTCACAAAAAGCCTCGAGTTTCTGGGCTTTGGTTTTGACTGCTTTCACTGGCCTGTAGGCATGGCATGGGATCAGAAGAATTGCCTTGTGGACAGGAACAACAAAGTTCTCTTTGAATCAAAATTTAATCTTGATTTCAAGCCATTTCTCAAGTTTCCAATGGAAAGAGAATCCTGCCCACAGGCCTGATAAATACCTTATGATAGTCGACTACATTCTGTCAACATTGGGATGTATTTTCTAGGGCATTTTTACAATATTCACCCAATAACTATAGTTGACATACCTAACAGTAAATGGGCTACAGTAACCATTGAGAGTAAAAAAAAAAGTTTTAACATTTTTAAATAGTCACAAAAATTACTCAGGGACTTAGTTTAAAGGCAGAAAAAATAAAATGTGTGGTTTTTAAGATTCTCTGTGAAATGCAACACAGTTGGCTAAGATTCACTGCAGTTTCTCCTAATAGGACTGATCTTACTATTTTAAGCATTTTGTAAAACAGACCCTCTGCTTTAAGTCAATTGTATGATAAAAGTAAAACACTTGGTTTTAACCTTGTTTTGATTAAAGTCATAATAACTCTTCGTTTCGGCCAAAAAATGAATTTTCCTGGAGTAAACAACAATTTTCCCACACTTACCAATGGTTAATGAATCCATTTTTACATTCGAAGTTAGTCCCTGGTTTTTTTCTAAAAAGTTTGTTTTTTTGTTAAAATCTCTTAAGAGTATAGACATCAATGGAGGTCACGTGGTCTAAAGACAAGCTCAGATATCAGAATAATAGCTAAAACTGCCGTTTTTGTGGTAAAACAGAATATATTATATTTTTATGAATTATTCACAATGTTTTTATGTGAAATATAGATTTCATACGAAGAGTTATTATCCCTTTAAGTTTTAACTTTGTTTTACAAAAAATAAGACCAAAACCCACACATCCATTTTTCCAAAAAGTTTAAGAATTGAGAGGAATATGTAAACAATTGCCACAGGAAAAAAATTCGTGCATTATACGAAATTTGCTGTTGTGTCACTTGGAAAAGTGCAAAATAAATTAAAATGTTAAATAAATTTTACTTGGCACAAAGAAATATTTCAGTGTATTCATGGAGATGTATTATACAGAATGGTGCTGAACAAGAGAGGGAAAAAACACTGCCAAATCAGGCCTGTAGCCAGGAAGTTTCAGGGTTTCAAACAAACTGCCCTTTTTTGCTGGAAAAAGGGCCACTCTGGGTAAAATTTGATCTAGGTACACAAAGGTTTCATGGTGATAGGTCCACTTTTTTTAGAAAAGACCACCCCTCCCCCTTTGAAATTGCTGGCTACAGACCTGCAAATCTAATGAGGCTTTCAACCCCAAAATGTGCCATATATACCCCAGGACAGCTTCACATACAAATAAATGGGAAAAACATTGATGTAAATGAGACTAGTTTTATCGTATAATACAGTATGATCTACATGCAAGTATGCCAATATCTTAGCATTTAAATGTTCACTAATGCCCAAAACTTATTAAATGAGGATAGAGTGTGCAATTTCTGTTCAACGATTTTAGATTTGACCCAAGTTAAATCCTGACTAGGCTGAAAAGAATCTTTTGGGCTTTAATATGAGTTATAATACAGTGTACGTAATGATGATTATATGGTTCACTTTAGTATAAATGCAAACATGATTCTTATAGCAAAGTTGCTTAGTGCCCAAGTGCCTGCTTTACAGCCGAGAGTTTGGTATCTTCTACAAAAAATCTGATTGCCCCAAACCATTTCAGCACTAACAAGCTTTTCAAACTACTTATATTTATGAAGATAATTCAGATTTTAGGCATGTATATTGTTTTCAAAATGTGACAACTATATAGCGGTACTGTCATCTTGTGAGTTTTAAAGGGGCACTCAGAGGCGTACTAGCATAGATTGGAAAAAAAAATCCAGCAAATGCCAAAAGAGGAGCACATAATATAAGACTTTCTGCTGCATCTTTGGATTTTGAATCCCGTTTTTAGAGAAATCTGGTGCCTGGTGCTTGAGGTCTTCCTAGGTGAGTGACAGTGCTGTACAGGGATGTAGTAGTTCTTGTTAATTCTGCCTTTCAAATAACACTTCCCCTGGTGACTAGATAAAACTATTTCCAGTTTATGTTACACCTGGTTTGAATGTGCCTTTACTCATTTACATTTACTCAGCATAGTTAGCTTATGATTATAGCTTTGTGCATCCATCCTTGACCATCTAGAGAGAAACTAAGTCCAGTTTAAGTTATAACTGTTCTGAATGTGCCCCCTTGCTAATTTGTATCCTCCCAGTTGCCATAGCAAACATGCTTATCATTATACATGGTAGGTCTTAATGAAATTGCCACGTGCCCTGGACTCTGGATTATGATATACTGCACCCTCCTTTCTCCTTGATGTTGCCCTCAGCTTTCTCGATCTCATAAATGATCTTGCCAAAGATATCTGACACTTGCTGAAAGACAAAAACAAAACAATTAACATGCGACAGAGCTTATTTGAATCAAGAAGTTTCATGTTTGAATGTTGCTGATAAAATACCACGAACTTCATTAAGTTCCAATGCATGCCAACTTCTTCATTTTCAAATTTGCCCATGTGCATGCTTATTGGATGCGAATAGCAGGCAGTTTGAAAGTTTAAATATGCTGAAGCTGAACTGGCCCGCATCAAAACTGAAGCTGAGAGTATGACAATATAGAAACAGCATTAAAACAAGTCAAATAGGACAAAAGTTGATTTTTAAGGTAATAAAATTGGATGATGACATTTTATTGGAGAATTAATGTTAAAAATAAATAGGGAAAGAAAATTAATTCCTGACATTCAGCTGATAACATTCTTTGGCTAAATGAATACTCTGGAGCAATTTGAAAAACATAGAAGTAAACTGCTGATAGAATAACAATATTTTTAATTCCAATACCCTGTTTTGTTTTGCAGATGCCTCAAGGAAAGCAGCATTCCAGGAGTCAGCTAGTTTTTTCCCTTGCTCAGGGCTGATTATTCTGGTAAAAATGAGAAAAAATCTTGGACGATTATCATTCAATTTTTTAAAATATTCTACACAAACCAATATAACAAGGTTGTACAATACAAAAAACTCCCTTTTCTTCAAAATCAATAAAAATTGTTAATAAGTAGTATTTCTAAACTATTGACCCACATCTTTCAAAAAGGTCAGTAAATATAGCATTTAATTTCTGTTCTTGCAAAGATTTATTTTCCTTCTTTTAAATCTAGTTTTATTAATATTCAGTTAGCTTGAAAATTTTCATTGTTTTCTTTCTTCCAGAGGATTTTGAAATGTGCATTTGTAAGACAAGTCTGAGAATTAAAATTATTCCATAACTTACCTTTCCATGGTTAAATCTGTTTTATTTCCAACAACAACCAAAGGAACCCTTAAAAATAGAATTGAAAACTAACTTCACTTTTTCTCTTTTTATCAGCAATAACAGGACTGAAGAGAGGCAAGTGAATAATAAGAAAGAAACAAATCATACTGTAACAGTTACAAAGTGGCAAGGACAATGGCACTTTATTTGGAGAACCAGGAAAGTATAGTATATAAAAGTGCAGAACTGTCTTAGATGTTACTTATATTTTAATGACAAGTGAGAAACTCTTCAGCAAAAACTTTAAGTTAATATCTAATATGTCATTTCAGCAAAAAATGTTTTATGACAAGCAGAAAAGATAAAATTGTACGCATTTATAGGGTAAATTTTAAACTAATAATAATAACAAATACAAAATTCTTATAAGGAACCTTACACAATAATGAAAATTCTATGAATTACATGTATATGTATTCAAAAGGAAAATGGGCTGGAAAAAGACTTCATACAAACTAAAAGGGCAAAATGCTGGGACTATTGATACTTATACTGGACTAAAGAGCACCTCTAATATCAGTATGGAAAAAAATCTACAAGCTAACTGTACTTACTGAGCTTTTCCTGTCATATCTAAAATCTTTTCATGGATCACTTTTATAACCTCAAAACTGTAAAATAAAATAAGACAAATGTTGATTTATCTATTATATTAAAAATGAATTCAAAATGTTACATGCATGCAAAATGTTACATGCATACTTGATAAACTTCCAAGCTCTTACTACTGAGGACTGGACTAATCTATCAATCAGCAACAAAACATTTTAAACTCAAACAATTTTGAAAATTCTGTAAAACACACGCACACACACTACTAGCACTTACCTTTTCTCGTTGTTGACTGAATACACTAGTACATAACCATCTATGTTCATGGAATAGGATTGTGGAAATATAGAGTATTCATCCTAAAATAGTGTTTTACTAATAGTTAACAATTTACTAATGGTTAAGCGACACAATTTATTAATCATGAAATGCATTTCTATTTATAAAACATTGGCATTCAAATTATAAAGGTATCAAAATAAAAACCATGAGCACTTTTTCATATTTGGAAGATTTCTAATTTCGAGGATTTGGGTAGACCGTAGTGGTGGAGGGGGGGGGGCTAAGGGGGGGCACTGCCCACTTGCCATGAAATCAACATAACAGCTCAAAGAAAAAGAATCAGCAAGAGGGCACAATTACTTGTACTGAGACATTTAAAGTACAAAGTCCAATAATATGAAAAAAAAAAGAGCTCACCTGGCCAGCAGTGTCAACAAGTTGTAACTGATAATCCTGACCACTAAACTTGAAAACCTTGGAGAATGCTGGAAGGAATAAATAAATAAAACAACCAAAACTGATTTAACTTGGTGTGGGTTGTAAATTCAAGACTTAAAGTAGTTTCAGACTAAAACAACTCAACTGATAATATGGCATTTAATTATCATGAGTGGAGTGTGTAATTTTAGATCCCTCCCCTCTCCTTTTACATAGCTCTACCACTCTGACTCATTAACTTAACCAATGAGGTGTGTGGTATACACAGACTTTCCATTATAACCCCAATGGAAAAAAGGGATACCCCTGAGGAAAAAAAAAAAAAAAAAAAAACAATAATCATCTGATACAAGATACTCACTGTTTTCAATGGTAGGATCATAGGAATCCACAAACTGTCCCTCTACAAACTGGATGGTTAGGGAGGATTTTCCTGCAACCCAAAAAACAAAGCATGAAAAACAAACCTTAATTCAATTGTTGTTCAAGTGTGTATTATTTATTTTGCTAGATCAACTTAATTTAGGGTGTATTCACAACTTATTGTACAAACTAGTGTGCACTAACTCCAGGGGGACTGTCTCTAGATGCAATCAGATTAACACGTCTCCTCCTGGCATCGAGTAGTAGAAAAACTGTGATTTATCAATTACTTTGACACTTTACTGTAGACAGACCATATCATTACTATCTGTTATTCTTCTTTAACAAAATAATGCTTCGACATGTGACTGACTTTAGATTTTGAAATGTTTACTGGTCACTCTAAATGCAGAATGCTAATTTTTGTTAAGAAAAAGTGCCAAAGGGATGACTTTTTCGCCTCAATTTCTAATGACAGCCCAAGTACATGTACAAGTAACCAGTTGATGAGATGTCAAACATTTCCTGCTAATTCTATCACATAGGTCACACACTCCATTTCTTTGTTGTAATTCTCAGTCATTAATCATTTGCATAGTTTATGTGCTTTTACAGTAAATAAAGAAGCTGATCTACAGATAATGCTCATAGAACTTGCAGGTAAATTCAAGGTTCACATCATAATGTACAAGATGGACATATCACACAGAAGTGGAGCCTGTAACTTTAAATGAACAGACCAATAACTTTGGCAGTGTTCACTCCAGAATAATGACCGAGCTGTATAAATGCCCATACGTCAACAACCAGACAATGTTTTGATCGTTAATAACTACATGTATGAGAGCGCTGCAAACAAGCACATGCACTAGTCCTGGTAATACACAAAGTCTAGTATCTGTATTCTGTCTATTAACATATTGTGCAGCTGTCATTATTGATCTACCGCTTCGTGAGCAAAATTGAAGCTTAATTATGCGATATTCAGATGCTTTCTAGCTCGGATCACCGAAAACATTAAAGTACGACCACCAACTTCGTTCAGCAGTTCGTGCATTACTGCACAACCATCTGTTCATCGAAATATCGACATGTCATAAACAAAATCAGCGGCTGTCAATAAACCCACACTTACCAACCGCCCTAAAACCCATCACCGCTATCTTCCGCTGTTTGGGCGGCATGTTTTGCAAATTTTGAGATCCCTGAGTATTACATATAGAACAAATCGTGCAACTGTAAAAGGACGAAATGTTTGACGCACCCCCACAGACCGGAAGTTGTATTGAAAGATGCCGTAAACCATGTATTACCTCCAAAGGGTACGTACAACCCTAACGACAATGTTACTTTACTAAGTACTACAGGATGTGCACAGCTGATGAGTACGAGCGTACTTATTGATATTATTTCACACACATACTTAAAGGTGATGATTCAATTTTTATTACATTACTCAAATGAATATAGACTTTCCTTAGTTCCGAGCACAAGAGCACTTCCAAGAATTATTGTAATATGATTATGAATCATTACAAATCGATCTTGCTCTCAAAAAAGAAAAATATTACTTATAAATTTAGCCTATTAACTTATTTATTATTGAAATTTTTTTCTACCCCCAACATCTCATCAAAGGTATATCTATCACCGTTCTATTCGTGATTTTCCAGCAAAATTGAATTTTCCTTAAAAAAAAAAAAGAAATCCCCATTTACGAATCATTGTTCATCCCGTCCCAGGTTCTCGGAGTTGATGTTTTATATAATTTCTAATTGAAACTTCAGTTCTACATGACAGTCCATGTCTTTCTATACTTTTTGTACTTTTGTACTTTTTAAAGTCTGGGAAAGATAAATATACAGCTTTGCAGAGTATGTAGACAGTAAACATGATTTTGGAATATTTTCAAAGGGAATAGTATTCCTTTAACAATATTCCGGATATCTTGCGTGCAGTCAGAGTGGAAATCGCTCACAGTTATATATAGAGAGTGGGTTGCTGAGGAAACCTCGCAACAAGAGCGCCCCAGCTGCACAAGGCATACACGTGAGAAGCACTGATCACCTCGCGCTGTTGTCACGCCAAGAAGGGGGCCAAGGCCCCAGTCTGTTTATGTAACTTAACAGTAGTTAATCATACTGATATTTATAACTGTTTAATCAAAGTTAGGGTGCTTTCCCAGAGATTTAGATCGATCTAGAGATTAAGATTTAGATCGACCTAACTCCCTGGGGGTTCACGCTAAATTGCAGTCAGCCGAGCGGGCACCATAGTTAATTACCCCCGTACAGCTTTTAGTAGGCGGAACAGACGCTTAAGCCGGCCAAGCTGACAGTAATCTAGTGAGACTCCCCACAGGGATAGATCGATCTAAAAATCTATGGAAATGGGGTGTTAGATAGTTGATAACATTTTTTTATTTTACTTATTTTTGAATTCCTCAGAACTAGAACTCAGCTGTGGATACCGTCCTATATCTTAGAACAGAGGGACTTAATCTAAGAATAAAAAACCTCGATGATACCGGTATATGTGAGGTTTGAAAATGAAAGTAATAAAAAAAAATCATCAGCCGTCTGGTAGATTTGATGCCGATGAAAATCAACTTTACACTTGTAAATAGTTCATTTAATACTTTAGGGTAAAATCGCTTTGTATTGCACAATAGAATTAAATAATTATATTTAAAGCCAATTATCTTAGATGTATACAAAACCACTTGCTTTATGTACTATAAATTATTTGGTCCCTAAGTTTCTTGTAAGTCCAACTTGTTTAGTTTTCTGCTTTTTAATATTCTCTTTAGTCTCTATCATAAATAAATTCACTAATTAATTAGATTTACTGTTTTTCATTCATGTATTCACTGATCCATTGAACCATCTATTTCTTTATTAATTTATTTAGTCATCCTTTCATCATTAATTCTTCCATTCATTCCTTTGTTTATTTATCATTTATTCATCTATTTATTTATTCATTTATTGTAGCAAGCATAATGCGTATGATGTATCCATGTCTATAATTTCTCCAAATTTACCAATCATAACCTGATACCCAGTTGAAAAAAAAATCCAGGGATCTTGTCTCTTGGCCCCACCCCCTCAGCAGGGGTTCACCTGCCTCATGGCCTTTCAGCCTTTGACTTGGTTTCGTAAACTCATCCCCTCCACCCCGCGTAACGCAGCACGTTTGGAGCTGACTGCTCTTCCACGGCACGGAAGCGGCGGTTGAACTACATCCATAACTTAGAATGACCTCAAGGGCATTCACAACAAATGATCCTCGGATCTACTGATCCACGTATCTAATATGGCGGACCCTACATGAAGAGCCGACTAAGCTGCTGATGTTCTCTCTGCCTCAACACGCGCCGTCCTTGGGGGATCTAGCAATTAAACCTCTGAGCCGTGATTTGATCCCGTTTAATGGCGCGTGCGAAGGCGGGGAGACCGTCAGCGGATTGGTCGGCTCTTCTTTCATGTAGGGTCCGCCATATTTGATCTGCGGATCAATAGATCCGAGGATTTTCTGTTGTGAATGCAGCCAATAAGTTGCCGATTGGTCTATGTTATACAGGGTGACGGTTGCTGACGTAGTTGACCTTCAGTTTCCCACGACGACAGTGCTCGTAAACAAGTCGGGATGAGCCCCCCGCCAGACGCTCCTGGGGGGTCACACCTTCAGGCATCATGTGACAGGCAGATTACTTGAACAAAGAGCAAAGTTTCCCATTAATTACGGTTATATTTGACCAGAAAGGCATGTAACAGTCACTTTACTATTAAGAGAGAGAGAGATTCATTGTCCGTTGATTGTCTTACAAATGGTAAAACCTTTCCTACAAGCAGGCCCTTTCTACAAGATGAGTTATATAAGTTTTTCTTTTTTGGTTTATTTATTCATTCATCCATTCATTTCTTTATTTTTGCAATGATTGAAAATAATAAAAATAATAAAGAATGTAAATAGGTCAAATCGCCCGGAGGAGTAAATCTTGATGAACAGCGCTCAACTACAGTACGTGTTCCTGGCAAAAATATTTCCAATCTCTTTTGTAAGTTTCAGAAGGAAGATATGATATCTGGTATAACTTGAATTGGTAGAATTATCGTACTTTGACCAATTGATAGCCTCTTAATTTCCCAACAGCTGCTTATCCCAACACCTACAAACAATAGAACCATTATTGCAGAAGAATCGGGCCTACATTAATACAATTACCCGGTGTAATCCATTTTATTTATCCATTAGAACGCTTTCATTTCGATTTAAATAGGGCCTAGGAAACCACTGCTGAAATTAGGTAACCTTAATCATGGAGTAAGAGACAAGTAAACAAATGCCATCTTTGGTTGACTTCCAGTTTTCTTGGTTGCCTCACAGCTGCAAAGTGCCCCGCCATTTTCTTATCTCATGCCGTCTGCTGCCCTGTCGTGTTTCACGGCTACCGACGGCAGGAGAAAAATATCTATACATCGGTGAGGATCGTCAAGGTATCCTTCATGGGGTAAATTCGTGGAAACTTGCTGTAATTTCAGATTTTTGTAATTCAATTGCATCATTTCGACTAACCAATTTTCATTGAAAAATTCATTCGCACCTTCAATAATTCTTTTGCGGTAAATAGAACGCTTGCAACTTTGAATGGCTAAAAAACTACATCATATCCATTTTGACTTTTTGTCTGGGAGTGAAAAGACGCAGCACACACTTTGAAGGTCTAGTATAGTTTTTTACGCAGGTGTTTACTGAAAAATTATTCACAATTTTCATAAATTTTCCTTTATCTTACATGTAGATGTACGTTACTTTGAATGATTTCAATGATATTCCATCAAATTTACTCTTTCTGTTTTTGCATAGAATGTTACTTTGAACAATTTTATTGATATAACATCAGATTTACACATTTTTATTGGCTTGGAAAGAAACGATGTAACACCGACTTTGAAGTCTTGACTGAAGTTTACACAGTTGTTATCCAAGTTCAATGATACAAACAAGGTACTTGATTACGAGTGGAAAGTAAACAGAGCCGATTGAAAATAGTCCACTTATTAAAAGCGCACTTGAAGCACGTGTTCAACTTATGTTTGTTTCTTGTATTGTCTTCTAGTTGTTCTGATAGGCCTGCAGAGCCGATGAATTACACCAAATTAATCTGTAAAATTGGATTGGTTTGATAAGATTCATTTAATTAATTTTTCATGCTTTCCTGTATTGGTATAAGGCATTTTAACACAACGTTGGCCATCGAATTATCTAGAGAAGAAATTTGAATATTTTTACACATTATCAAACATATTTTAATGTCGAGTGAACCATCCTGGTTTATAGGCCCTATACTCCTACCTTTGATTATTACAAAACCTTTCTTAGACTCACTTTATATGGCATACTGTTAATTACTTCATCATTTCTCATAATAATGGTTTTACCGTTGGAGGTAACCCCCATCACCGTACAAACAAAAACTGCAATCTTAAAACGTGCAATTATTTTACTGTTCTTTAACAAAATGTGAATAAAGAGATAAATTGGACACTGAAACACCTTTGGCTTGCCATACCTCATATTTATACTGTAAATACTATTACACTATTATTATTATGCTATTATACTATAGCAATAAGTGCTGCAGTTTAACTTTTTACCGAGAAGGTCCCTTCATGTTTAGATTTATGTGTTTCATTTGCTATTGTAGTATTATGATAAAACGACGGAAGCATTACAATTTCTTTTAATAGCTTTAACATACAGCGACTTAAATTTACGGATTTGCACATTTAATCGCACATTGTAATTACCTGTTAATATATTCATTAAAAAAGAATTAAAGTCGCTGGCACAGTATAATTATCTAGGGTGCATAACAAATATTCTTAGTTATCATAAACTGTACTATATCTATGGACAGCTTTATTTAGTTTTACTAATATAGGGACTCACAAAAAACTTATTCTTATCAATACCACCCTTTTATCTGTATTTAATCGATATTTTTGAAATCTTTTTCAAAATGTAAGAACTTAGACGATTTCATGCTTGCTGGTTATTCGTGGTAGAAGTTTTTTTTTTATAATTCTATTCGTGCATTCTCTCTCTCTCTCTTTTGTGAAATAACAAACATGATATTAGGCCTACCAGTCAATCAAAATTTAAAATAAAAATTTTCAACAAATTTCCCATTAAAGAAACGAAGCACTCTGACTAGCTAATAAAATGATTCACTTGATATTAATTTTATTCGTTTCTTGCTCCTCTTTATGAAATATATATATATCTCTAATTTTATTTAACAATATATATGTATGGAAATTTTTTCATTAAATTTGATTTGTCCAACCTTATTTTAATATTGACACCCTTTACCATAATGCGCATCCCGTTTTCACTGAAATAAATGTTAGCGCTTTATAGAGAATCATCAAACCATCAAATATTGTGAAACAAACCAAATTTAAACTTTTCGAAAAGGAACCAATCTTCTTCCTGTAGCCCAAATACCATCTTTCGCTTTAACTGAAAGCCGGCGGCGAATTTTATTCCCGCAGATCAAACAGGTTCCCTTTCATATTTAGCCTACCAACGTGATTTCCTCGCATTCCTTACTTCGTAAGATTCTGATAACGGAGAGATTCGGTCGCGATTGAGCGGCCCTCCCCGGCGCTACATATCAAAGATCTACACACATATTTATTCACTACTACATAATCATACCGTAGTGGAAATGACACAAAGAGGATTATTATATTAATAAGGTTTAATCTGTTGTCGGGTCTAGGTATCTTTAGGATAACACGATGAGGTTTGTAACGGTAACCGACCAAAGTGCCGACGTACTCTTTACCGTCTTCTTCCTCTTATTTGCCACCCCCGTTCCTTCATCTTATTCGTGATTGGAAGCAATATCTTACGCACCTCCGTATTAATGTTAACTCAGTTGAATACTTGTATAATACCTCTTAAATATTGAACTATTTTGTAGAAATCAGTGTAGGACCACTTACTTTACAGTACTTATTATTACTAAAAGCTTCAAAGCCAACTGGTAAATTAAAAAACCCAAAAGTTGTTTAATTTGTTAACATAAATATAATGGAAATTTATCTTGGTTTTTGATATCCATTAAAATTCTTATTCTTATCAATAAGTAATTTCATCTGATTGTGCCATTATGTCATGTATTTATCCAACTCTTTACGGTTGCCAAATTATTTAATAACAATACAAGTAACAACAACAACATCAATAATAATAAAAATGACAATTTAAATAGTGGAATATAATTTTGACAATTCTCAAGGACCTTTGCAAAAAACAAGGTCGAGTAAAGAAACATGATGACGTCATTAAGTCGTAAATCAACGAAATAAAATGTTGTATGAGAGGTCGGATACCCTCCTCTCAGCCCTCTCGCCAGGCATGTGCTCGCTCCGGGAGACCTGCTTCTCTCACCTGTGGCTGGTCACCCCACTATCAACGGCTATAAAAGACCACCGGGATTATAAAGCTTCAGAATGCTTTTCCCAACCAACAGACGTTCAGTAGTTGTGCGGTAGACAGCGACAGCAGAAGGATATTGTAGAGCGCGTTTTACTGAATCAAAGAAGAAAACACATTTGAAAGGGATTGATTTTTGAAAGGTAAATCTACTGTTTTAATTTATATTTTTAATCATTTTAGATTAAAAAAGTAAATGTTCTATGTTCCTTTTTTGTTCATTTAAATCAATGCGGGAGGAATTTATTATGCTTTATAACGCGAATTATTTTCTAAAAAAAAAAGATCTTTGATTTCAAGCCGTCCTTTAGAATTCGAAATAGGCGTCACCTTTTTTCTGTCCTCTTTGCATTGAAGTAAATAATTAACTGTTTCATCAAAAACTACATGCCATGAGCGCTTCAAATACATCTTATAATTTATTCATCACCATTTGAGAACCGGGATAGACACCAGAACAAAATAACTCGAAAATCTTCAAAGATTTTTTTATTTCGCGTTTGTTAAGTTCAATCAGAGTCCGTGAGTCCTAACTGTTGGAGAAAAATGTCAACAAAAGAAGAAAAAAAAAATGCCGACTATCTCAAGGACAGGTGTGTGCTGTATACATGCCCCAAAGGTTATCTATTTCTAAGCAGTAGGGGGTGGGGAGGCGGCAAGAATAAAGAGAAACTTTACGACAGGTGTTCAGAATACGTCAATGTGTGGATAGTGTATTAACTATTTGTGCCTAATAAATATTAAAGCAATTTTGTGCGGTCTTAACACATTGGGGGTGTTTGGATATTCAAGTTTTAAGAAATACATTTTAAACGATTAACCAGATTGATTGCGAATAATCTCCTCTTCTGATGAAAAAGGAATTTCTGACAATTCTCATCAGAAAAATTGTAATGAATTAATAGGTAAGATTAAAATACAATAAAACAATGCAAAGTACTAGTAATGGTAATGATTACTGAATGAATGACAAAAAAGAAAAAAATTAATGCATAAGCTGAAAGTCATTTTAAAAGGGGCGCTTCAAATTTGTTCGCGCTAAAAAGGGTTCTTCCAAGAAAGCTGATTATAGATTCAACTTCCGCATTGAACTCATTTAGAATACTAAGTAATGCCATGGATTTCACTGCATGTATATGCGACAAGGAAAATAGATCTTTAGTTTCGAGACGTATTGTTGAATGTTCGTTTACGTCCAAGGCTAAAGAGGATGGAATAATATGAAAATGTGAAAAAGTAGGTCAGATTATAATAAAAAATATGAGGTCTATTTGTTGAATTATGAAAACAACAAAATTACATAATTTATATTCTCCGCTTATTCGAAAAGTAATTTAACAATTTTAAATGAAAATTGTACAAATAACATTATATCATAAATGCATACAAGTAAGATATTTTATTTACTTTTATGCATTATCGTTATCATGCCGTTGCTCAATATCGAACGTCTTACCCAAGTTCTTGATTTTTTATGAATGGGCGATATAGAAGCTATTTTTTTAGTACAGTTTTAAACTTCCTAGTACAACAATGAACCTGAATAAAAGCAAGGCTACTTTCTTTAAGATTTTATCAAAATGACATAAAATAAAGTTTTCGTTGTTCAATAGCCTAGAGTGCAATATTTTTACGCATTATTAACCTTTGCCTTGATAAATAAACGATAGAGAACATGATGTTAATATTCCTTCATTATTTCAACTTCAGGTTTCCAAGATGAGAGAATTTTTTTGCCTTGCCATTCTTTCTCTTGTGTATTTCGTTGTGGCTAAACCGCTGACAGAGGACCGAATTGAAAAACAAAACAACCAACTTGCCACATTTCCAGGCAGCAAAAAGGACGGCAAAAGTAACAAACTATCCGAAACATTAAAGAAATTAGATGAAATTAAAGCAACGCCAGATGTTCGTGACGGCGACGTTCCAAAGAGTGGACTGGACGATTATATTAATTCAGATATTGAAAGTAACCCATCTGAAGAACGATTATTCGACTTAGTTGCAAACGATGAGCAATTTCTAACATTCCTGAAAACTTACATTCATGTGAACAAGCCAGAATTGGAGGCGCATGCAACTGTCTATTTCGACCAACAAGCTCTAGAACGCGTTGCCAAGCTTGAGAAAATCTGTGAAATCGACGAAAAATTTGGTCAGTATCTTGAGGCATATCTATCTTCATCTGGCGATCGAATTAAAAATAGTGCTACGTCGCAACGTTCTGCGTCAGCGGCCGTTCATTATACAAAGTTCCAAAAGCGCAATGGCCTTTCCGCAGCACGGAAGAAAAGATTCATCAGTGGCATCAGCGGCAGTTCACCAACCGTAGAGGAATTGTTAGCGATGTTAGAACACCAAAAGCAAAACCGTGGCGGATATGGAAACTCAAGCTCGCGTTGGGGTCGGTCCGTTGGTAGCCGTAAGTCAACTCGGCGGTCAAAGCCTAAACTTGCCGAGGAACTCTTAGATTTGTTACAAAAGTACCAGAGGAAAGCCAACGGTTTCGGTGGCTCAGCGTCGCGCTGGGGGAGATCCGTGGGGGATGCGTTAACAACGATAGAGCAGTAGCACTTGAACACTGGCACGTGCCGGATACGCCCACTGTACTTTCTACGACTGGAATTCGAAAGACTCTGGATTATGACTAACTGCCATCACTAATGCTAACACATTAGCAGCCATGCGCACTTTCTCGTACAAATTGCACTAGATGAATTCATAAGAACTAAACGCTGTTTACTCGATTTCTGAAAATAGCAGACTTTGTCCATGAACTCGACATCATTGATTTGAAAATGTACGGTTATGTGACAGAAAATAAGTGCGCCAGTTTAACTGCGTATACATGGGAATATTACTGCATATGCTTTAAATTCTCTTTTATTTTCCTTACAGAACTTATCATTCCCAAATTTTGAGACAAATGCAACTTCTTGTTAACTTGATCTATTACATGGATAGAAGAGGGTTGAGTTTTAGTGTCATTTACATATAACAGACAGGCAATTTTACTTCAGGGTAAAGATTCGTTGCATCACTCTATTCTACAGTCAGCGCCTTTTACGATATTTAATTGAAAGACTGTGCATCTTTTAATCGTATTACCAAATAATAATTCTAAAATGAAAAACTCCAAAGTCTTTGGTAAACCTGAGAATTTATAAGAGAAATACTGCCTCCTCACTGTGTTAAACATAAAGACAGGGTAAAATTCCCAAAAGACGTCAATATCTCAATAAAGAAGAATCTCTCTTTTCAGCCTTTTTTAAATATCCTTATACATTCGCCTTATATTATTGCACAATTACTTGCATTTCGCAATTAAACGAAGAGTGTTATTACTTTCACATTAGCGATAAAAGAGACTCTGAAATGCCGGGATATTTATTTGAATTAGAAGTTTCAGTTTGGTTTGAAATTTAGAATGGGGTCGACGGGGATAAGGCAGTGGCACTTGTGGACTAGGCAAACTTTCCGTTAGTTGGCTGTAAATAGAGCACTTGCTTATAGAAATGGCGTAAACTATATATATATTTCCTGTCTTAATAAATGGATCAAATGAATAAATTGTAAATTATTTGAATGAACCCTTTGAGAATGCCTTCTCTTTTTATCATTTGTTCAAACAATCCCCAATTCTTACGAATATGTAATGCATCATCCAAAAGCAATTTAATGGACAGTTTCCGATTAAAACTATTAAGATGGATTATACACGCTTTATTAAATCTGTTATTAATGACAATAAAATTTAAACAATTATATATTATTACATATTTTTCTGGTAATTCGCATATCTATTAAAATAAAGTATGCATTTCAGAAAATAGACGTTACAAGTTTTATGCCATAAAAAAAAAATAAGTCGGGAAATGGTAAAATGGTAAAAGTCATTGAGACATTGGAGACAACCCCCCCTTTTTTTAGCTATTTAAAGAAATAAAACATACTTTCCAAAAGTCCAATTAAATATAGAGATTAAATGCAGTGTCCCACGGACGACGCTGTTCATAGCGCCGTTTTGGGGAGAAAATACCGTTTCGGTTTTGGGGTTTTCTCTATATCCGAGATAGTTATCTAAATGATGTAAGGGGCATCATTAAGCTGGGTGCAATCGAAGATCAGCTAGCCTTAGAGTGTATTCCCAGAGATTTAGATCGATCCATCCCCGTGGGGAGTCTCACTAGATTACTGTCAGCTTAGCCGGCTTAAATGTCTGTCCCGCTTACTAAAAGCTGTAAGGGGATAATTAACTTCCGTGCGCGGTCGGCTGACTGCAATTTAGCGTGAACCCCCAGGGAGTTAGGTCGATCTAGCAAGAACGATCTAAATCTCTGGGAATGCCCTCTTACTGTACACCACTCACTGTGTACACTGTAATGATAACATAGGCTGTGGTAATGCTAGATAATTGCAGTAGATGTGATATCGCATTCAAGTACACTCGAATCTTCTACAAAGGGGTTGATATAGACGCATTAAAACAAAAGAATCAATAGTGGGATAGCTGGCTGCTGTACTCGACTGTAAGGCGTATCCCCTTCCTTATTAAATATTAATGAGCTATCTAAATATACACGTCTTTAACATACATGTGGCTAAAAACTTTCACAGATTTCATAAAGTTTTAACAGTGATGCGTTTAAGGCAAATTAAAATTTACAACCCATGTAAATAAGAATTTAATGCATAGTTCTAGTTTTTTCTCGATCTAAACTGAATAAATACACAAAAAAATACTTTCTACGTGTATGAGGAAACGTTTGGAAATGATTATTTCACAAAAAATATACAAAATATACGGGTTGTTGCGTGATGCGATATCAAGGCCTATGATAAAGGCGAATGCACAGTACTATAAGCAACTCAGTTACAAAAATTCTCAAATGTACAGTTAGAATTACTGCTAGTTTTTCACCTCAAGTCATCCTCTTGCAACGTCCGACGTCAAAGCACTGACACATATCTACCTCTCCTCCACTGAAATGCTTTTCCCAGAACTTGATATTGTTTTTGGAAACGGTTCCGAAAACAGCATCGGCATCACATGTCTTGAAATGTCCTAAGTCAAGTTGAAACGGTTTCCTGGCTCCACAGAATAATTTTTCGTTGCTGGGTGAATCACTGGGCTTCCAGCTAGAAACACTGGTATTCGGCATAATCATTTGAAATTCTAAAGTTACATCAACCGAGTCGTTTTGAAGATTACAGTCGCCGGGCGAACTTCGGGTCTCTATCTTGTAGTCGTAGAATATTGCAGACTTGCTTGACATGTTCTCAAAGTGTTGTTCCAAATTGAAAACACATTTCCAGACTGTGTGGCATCCGATGTTTGGTTTTCGGTTGATAAAGTGAGGCTACTGGTGCTGAATGGAGCGGCGGTTGTTGTGGGTGTGTGTCCCGTTGTCGTGTCCGGTATGAACGAACGTGCTGAATTGAACGGATATTCCACGCTGGTTGATATGTTATTGACAGGGGTCAGTTCTGTATTTGTCCGTTGGTTAAAATTTGTGGTTCTCTCCGTCCACTGGTCAGAAGAATGGTTGTTCGGAATTGTCTCTATAAACGCCCTTGTCTGAGCAGTCGATGTGTTTGTCGCGTTGTCATGGATACCAAATATGTTACATGGGAGTCTTATGTCCATACCACCTGATCCAGCTTCAAAAACTACATTGGCGTACGTCAAAATGGCGACTCGTGCTAATTTGCTTGATTGGTTCACTTTCTCATAAGCTGAGTGTGAAAAGTTGATGTTGGCCCTGGCCACTATTGCTATATCAACGTCATTGTCTATGGATACCAGGTTAAACATAGTCTAGGAATCAATCCAACCTGCTGGATCCGTCCTTTTGTCGAACTCAAGGCTGTCAATTTACAGGTTGGTTTTATCCATGTGTACATCCACGTGCTCATTGTTCATCATCGGCAATATGGCCGCACAATCCATAAGAAATCCTGCAATAGATATTGCAGTTACTAAAATTACAAAAATGAATGACAACAACTGAAATAGAGAGTGCCCACATCTGCAGGTACACGATGCAATGCAACACTTAAGCCAAGACGAACCTGCTTTGTACGCCGTTGATGCTAAACTTGCAGCTCTTGACACAAAAGCTGCAGCTGATTTAACTTTTGTCGGTACTAAACATGACCCAGTCGAGAACATTCTTATTGTCAGATATGCTAAAGGAAGGTCCTCTAGGGACTCTTCAACAAGCGCTATTACCAGTGCAATGAGTAACTGTATGTCCAGCTTTCCGCCTTCTTTTCTGTCTTCTTCTCTGTCTTCATCTCTGATATACTTTTCGATTGCGAAAGTATATGTTATAGACGGTGTGTGCCACATATACTATAGTTCCAATGATACAAAATTGATCATAAGTTTCGTGCAAATAAGACGTCAGTCCTGGGTCATTCGGTTCTTGGTAATAGAAATCGTATTCTTTAAGTTCGATGTAGGCCAACCAGTCAGTGAGAACATCAAAAGATGTTAATATTAAACTAACTGCTGGTATAATATACAAGTGGTTAAGATAGCCTTTACACATCCCCATTCTAAACTCTTGTGGATACCAAATATGTTACCTCGAAGTCTTATATGTTGATACACTTTTCCCCCCCCGCCCCCCGCCCCCCGCCCGATCCAGCTCCAACAAAGGCGTAGGTTACAATGGCAACACCTTTACTTCCAGATAAGCTCTGTGTAAAATGTGAACATTAATACATACACTTTAAAGCGTTTTTCTAAACTAGTGTTGATCAGCCTTACTATTGTACTTGTCAAGGGTATTTGCATATCACGAATGCTTTCACAACTGCTTTTGTCAAAAAGTTCTTTTGTTGAAAAGCAGAGTACTTAAAACATTTATTTATACACTGTTGCTCAGAATTGTTGTCACACCTATTAAAATTTACGGATTTCTGGCTAGTATACATAATAGAAAGAAAAAAGAAAACGAATTTTCCCACCTTTTAGATCTGTTGATAGTTTTTCCATCCCACCGCCTTACCAATGAGGTTGCATGATGGCCGCTGTCGACCAATCGAAAATTAGAAATGCTCATCGCTTTCTTTTTAAATACCAATGATATTGACATTTATTACATAGGGCATGCGTTTCTGTGAAAGGAAATTATATCCCATAGGAACATATTTCTTAACTATGTAGAAATACAGGTGGAAATCTAGGTTCGGGTCATCCTAGGGAACGAAAGTGTTTTGCTTTTCGCGCCGGTGTGACGAAACTAAGGATCCGTGTGACAGAGAGTCCACCCTCCATTCAATTATACAGGTTAGGGTTAGCCTGACGGAAGTGGCTCAAAATCTAGGGCGAGGCTTACGTGTGCAAATGAATGGGAACCAGATTCTCTATCAATGGGGTCTCTCTGTCACTTCGCACCGGATACCAATGTTTCTAACTGGTAGAAAAGCGATCCATCCAGCAATAAAAAATTTCGTGAAAAAAAGGAAAAAAACGTTAAAACTTGACTTTTGACATTTCAAGAATTATAGCGCCGATTCTGCGTTCGGGGCCCGTTTCAAAAACAGTGTCAAGTTTTGGGAAAAGCATTTCATTGGCGGACAGGTAGATAGTTACCATATAATTAATGAATAAC